AAACAAATAAAGTTGTTCCCAATATGCAAAATACCACCGTCTACGTTGACTCCGCCTCCAGCACGTGCCTGAGTCTTTCTCAAAGCGTCCTAATTTTGCGCTCCACTAGATTTTTATTCAACCTTTTTGTTTTTTAAAGTTTTCATGGCTTATAGGCAACATTTATCACAATAAAAAAATGGCAAGCTATTGGAAGGATGGAAGCAGGCCAATCACAGGCAGAAGTAGCAAGATGGCTTGGAGTGACAAGAAACGTTGTCTCAAGGCTTTGGAAAAAAATTCAAACGACAGCTAATGTTGTCAGAACACCCGGACAAGGACGGCCAAGGGTCACAACGTTAAATCAAGACCGTTATTTGAGTCTCCTTGTGCGTCGCAATAAAAGAATGACAGCATCGCAACTACGAAGTGACCTCAATTCAGCTACAGGAGTCTTAGTATCAACTGATACAATACGCAGAGGGCTTCACAAGAAGGGCCTCTATGCTCGACGACCCATAATTTGTGTGCCATTGACACCACCTCAAAAGAGAGCGAGGAAACTTTGGTGCAGACAACATGTCGCCTGGAATCCAGATGAATGGAGGCGTGTAATGTTCACTGATGAGTCCAGATTCTCTCTAAACAGCGATTCTCGTCGTGTCTTTGTCTGGAGAGAGGTTGGAACCAGAAATAATCCCCGGAATATGGTTGAAAGGGATCCCTACAGAAGCCAAGGTTTTATGGCCTGGGCTGGAATCTTCTTGGGCGGTCGCACAGCACTCCATATTTTTCGGCAAGGAACCCTGACTGGACAGAGGTATCGGGACGAGATCTTGGCAGCATATGTGATGCCTCAAGCATTGGAAATGGGAGGAAACTTTCTTCTAATGGATGATAATGCCCGTCCACATAGGGCTGGTGTGGTCAACACTTTTCTCCAAAACCATGCAATTGCTCGGATGAATTGGCCAGCTCGATCCCTAGACCTAAATCCCATTGAGCATGTATGGGACAACCTAGGACGGCGGATCTCATCCCTCCAACCCCCGCCTAGAAACACTTATGAGCTAGAAACAGCCTTAACACAAGAGTGGGCGTTGATTCCACAGGAGCTGATAAACTCCCTAATTCTTAGTATGGGTCACCGATGTAGAGTCTGTCTATCAGTTAAAGGCGATCACACCCCATATTAACAACAATATCCAAGATATTTATGCACTGACTGCAAGAAGATCATTGCTTGACCGGCTAATTTGCATAAAATACGTGTTAGAATTCTTTGATTTCGGGTATTCTAATCAATAATGGAAAAATAAATTTGTGTATAAAATTTCATTGATAAATGTTCAATAAAATTTGAGATAAATGAAAAAAATATGTTGTTCCTTTAATTTTGCGGACCAGTGTACATTGTTTGAAAAGTAGGGTTTTCTAGGATTCTAGACTGATTACTAAGAATCTTGTAAAGCTAAATCTCTAAAAGCACTGAAATTAATCTTAAATTATTATGTTATAACCGTGATGTAAAGCACACATTTGCCACACATACAAGGCGTTAAAAATATTATAATTAAATTTATAACACGCCTTGTAAAATACTAACTTTTACCGATCCTTTGAGAATTGATTACTGGTTCTGTGCTAGTTTTCTAAAGACTTTTTCTGGCTCCGTGATAGGGTTTTCTGGGGATTTTCCATATTCGTTCTTAGGATTTTTTATGTAATTCTGTAATCAAAATTCGAAACTATTATAGACGCGTATGATTCTTTTTTAAAAATAAACAATTTCTACTGCCCTTACTGCCATGGAAAAATTAATGGGAGGGTCTGGCTCATCAGTGGTGAACCCTCCCAGCGATTTCGCCAGTTTTAATCTACCATACCGCTGTTATATAGCATTTTTCGATCTTCCTTTTATAGTGATACTGAAGCTAGACTTCTTAGAATGGGTATTTTAGATGAACTATGGACAAGCGCTTTGAGGACTGCAGAATTACATACAATTATAAATATATAATTAGTAGCAGTAGAAATTGTTTATTTTTAAAAAAGAATCATACACGTCTATAATAGTTTTAAATTTTGATAACAGATGGCGCGCTAATGCCTCATAATAAAATTCTATAATATTTCTTTGCTTAACACAAAGCAACAACGCGCCATCTATATATATAAATTGAAAGGATTTAAAAGCGGAAGAGCATTGCTCGATGCGAATATTCGAATGTAATTCTACTGTCCTATAAGCTTATGTCCATAGTCTTCTTGAAAACCATTTCTGAGATTCCAACCTTCAGTGCTGCGTATATAAGCAGAATCGTCCAATACAGTATTAGAGCTCTGAGAAGCGGTCTAGTGGATTAAATTGGCGAAACTGCTGGGACGGTTCACCACTGATGAGCCAAGCTCTCTCAATATATTTTTTTCATAGCAGTAAGGGCAGTAGAAGTTTGTATTGTGTATAAAAGAAATATTCGTGCTTTTAAATCCTTTCAATTTATTTCTTTGCTTATTCAGTACAAATTAACTGAGCTTTTTTTAATTATTATTTTGTGATGAGTCTTGTATTGCCGTAGATTTCAATTGTTATACGAAATCTCAGAGAGAAAGAGTGATAGTTCAGAGTAATATATTGTTCCTCACAACTCTGGATCTATGCCGATTGTGTCTGGTATATGTTGTTTTTTTTATCTCCACTATATCATCCCTGATTCCAGTCACGTGTTCCATCGGTTTAACGACGTCATATTGTGTGGCCTATCAGACGACCATCACTTCCCAATTTAGAGCTCCATGCCTGGCTGGACCTTAATTACTTCTTAATTGGCTGTGTGCACTTCATCGCTAATTAAAGAACAAAGCCGTTTGTTTGCTGAGGTAGAACTCCTTGATAACAAAGTAATCACCACCAATTATAAGGTCCAACGACATCTTACAGGATTGAATTAATACTTGGTGCTTTAATTTATAATCCAGGATTTCTATTATAAATATTATACCTTTATATATTGTTAATGATGTGATAAAGATGCTTAAATTGTTGAGTTTATACAGTATGTGTGCTCTCTAAAAGATAGACACATTGATATTTTAATAATTACTTTTTAATTGTTGTAGAGTATTTAGAAATTATATATATAATACAATATAATATAATGCGGCTTGTGATTGTAAAACGACATTTGAAAATTATCCCGCATGTGTTTCTTTTGAACGAAAAATCAAAATTTATTTCAAGGAGAAATAATGATTATTTCTAACCTTATGGATGAGGTATGAAAGGATGAATTGTGAAGAGTAATGATAAACGGAAAAATAAAAGTGTCCAGGGATGGGATTCCCATCAATACCTCATCAATAAGGTTAGAAATATTCGTTATTTCTCCTTAAAATAAATTTTGATTTTTCGTTCAAAAGAAACACATGCGGGATAATTTTCAAATGTCGTTTTACAATATAAATATATATATATATATGTTTGAAAATTAGGTAATCCATATATTAAATTATTTTAAAATGCTTAATTTGTATCATATAGTTTTTTCTTCCGATATTTCTTATGGCAACTCTCCAAACTTCTTTGGGGAACAAGATTTATTCTTCAAGCATCTCAAAATAATCTTGTTACCCGAAGAAGTTTGGCGAGTTGTCATACGAAATATTGGAAAATAAAAATATATTGTTACGACGCTTCTCAGCCGTCGATGTTTGCGCTCAAGGTTTACTGAGAAGACAATGTGAGTTCGTTTTGGATACAGCTTAGTGCTATGGATTTATTACCAGATCTTTGAAAGGGATATAAGTAACTATACAGTAGAAGATTAACTTGCCTTCAATGTCCGCCACTAGAGGGATCCTTCTCCGCTACCGTCTTCCCCGTCTGTTGTCACCACCCTTCCTCGCTGCAGGTCCCGTTGTCATCAGACAAACTTCTTCCCTCCAGACTGCTATCTCTGCCAGACAGTCTTCTCGGCACACACCAATCCCCGGCAGGCCGGCCGACTTCCTTCCACCGCGGCACCAGCTGGACTCGGCTGATCCCTTCCCCACGGCGACGCCAGCTGGACTTCGCGCTGTCTGCCTCCGACCGTCTGCCACCCCCCTCCTGGAATTTGTCAATCCACACTTCCCCTGCAGGAGCCCCGGCATACCTTCTCTCTTGGCTTCCCACTTCTTCCCTGCTACTTCTCTGCTGCATCGTTTCACTATGATCCAAAATAAGCATTTTAAAATAATATACAACTGAGAAACGTCAACCTGGGGGGACCATGGTTTCTGAATTATCTTCAGTCTAGAGTGGTCATGAGATCCACAAGGGAATATCTTCATAATTTGCAAAGTCCACTCTGGACTGAAGATGGATAGAAAGAGTATATGGAAAATTCTGGAATAATTAAAAATCGAGCATCTCAAAACAATCTTGTTCCCCGAAGAAGTTTGGAGAGTTGCCATACGAAATATTGAAAAATAAAACTATATGATCCAAAATAAGCATTTTAAAATAATATATCTATATATGTGAGAAAAAATGGTTCCAAAGTGAAATTGTACAAGGATCAGGTGAAATTGTACAAGGATCAGGTGAAATTGTACAAGGATCAGGTGAAATTGTACAAGGATCAGGTGGATAAATTAAGACATCTCCTGATTGTGCAACTAAAAGTTGTTTGCGCTGTCTGTTAGAATGAATATCAACTAATCTTTAGTTTTTAATTATTCTAGAATTTTCCAAATACTCTTTCAATCCCTCTTCAGTTCAGAGTGGACTTTGCAAATTATGAAGATATCCCCTTGTGGATCTCATGACTACCCTAGACTGAAGATAATCTAGAAACTATGGTCCCCAGGTGGACGTTTCTCAGGTTGTAAAACGACATTTGAAATACTATCCCGCATGTGTTTCTTTTCAACGAAAAACCAAAATTTATTTAAAGGAGAAATAACGATTATTTCTAACCTTTTGGATGAGGTATGAAAGGGTGAATTGTGAAGAGCAATGATAAACGGAAAAATAAAAGTGTCCAGGGATGGGAATCGAACCCACAGTGTTCCGCTTACTGGGCAGATGCCATGTCCACTAGGCCTTTCTCAGGTTGCCTAAACTGGTATTGCGGCTTTGTTACCGACCAATTTGCGGAGACAGTCAATAGATGGCGTTCAGTTTTAGCGTCTATTTGGATAAGAGATGCGACCTTTATTTTATAGACTAGTAGAATAGGCATGAGAAGACAACTAGATTATATTTGATTAATAAAACAAATAGTAGTTGACATTTCCCAAATAAAAAAAGAAACATTTCCGTAGTCATTTTACTATGTAGCTATTGAAAAATCACGGATAAGATGAATCATGCTATAAGTACCTCCATCTTATGATTTATCAGGTAGGCCCGTTCGTTCGGTATCAAATTCCATGTTCAGATTACCAACTTGATGATTTCATAGCCACGGATGACTCAGATTAATGTTATTGTGCATTTTCGCCCAATGTGTAATTCTCTTAAAAATAATTTATTTAGAACATATTTCGAATGATTTAAGAAATGAAACTACTTTAGCACGCATATATAATTTATATACATTTAAAATAAAAACTTTTTACTGTTCTTGGTGAAATTAAAGGGTATTGGAAGTACCTGAAGAGCTCATAATATACAGTGAGCATCTTTACGAAACATTGGTTCATGAAAGTTGCCGTTAGAACTAATAAATGTTATTATATTCGTTTTATTTACTAAGTAAATTCTGGAGTGCTGGAGCTCCATGATTCCTTTCTTCCTGTGGTGAATCTGTATAAGACCGGTGGTCTTAATAAAGCTTTGTATGTGTGTGATTTACTAAGCAAATTCTGGAGTGCAAGAGCTCCACATGATTCCTTTCTTCCTGTGGTGAATCTGTATAAGACCGGTGGTTTTAATAAAGCTTTGTGCGTGTGTGATTTACTAAGCAAATTCTGGAGTGCAGGAGCTCCATCTATGATTCCTTTCTTCCTGTGGTGAATCTGTATAAGACCGGTGGTCTTAATAAAGCTTTGTATGTGTGTGATTTACTAAGCAAATTCTGGAGTGCAGGAGCTCCATCTATGATTCCTTTCTTCCTGTGGTGAATCTGTATAAGACCGGTGGTCTTAATAAAGCTTTGTATGTGTGTGATTTACTAAGCAAATTCTGGAGTGCAGGAGCTCCATCTATGATTCCTTTCTTCCTGTGGTGAAACTGTATAAGACCGGTGGTCTTAATAAAGCTTTGTGTGTGTGATTTACTAAGCAAATTCTGGAGTGCAGGAGCTCCATCTATGATTCCTTTCTTCCTGTGGTGAATCTGTATAAGACCGGTGGTCTTAATAAAGCTTTGTATGTGTGTGATTTACTAAGCAAATTCTGGAGTGCAGGAGCTCTCTCCATCTATGATTCCTTTCTTCCTGTGGTGAATCTGTATAAGACCGGTGGTCTTAATAAAGCTTTGTGTGTGTGATTTACTAAGCAAATTCTGGAGTGCAGGAGCTCCATCTATGATTCCTTTCTTCCTGTGGTGAATCTGTATAAGACCGGTGGTCTTAATAAAGCTGTGTGTGATTTACTAAGCTAATTCTGGAGTGCAGGAGCTCCATCTATGATTCCTTTCTTCCTGTGGTGAATTTGTATAAGACCGGTGATCTTAATAAATCTTTGTGTGTGTGATTTACTAAGCTAATTCTGGAGTGCAGGAGCTCCATCTATGATTCCTTTCTTCCTGTGGTGAATCTGTATAAGACCGGTGATCTTAATAAATCTTTTAGTGTGTGATTTACTAAGCTAATTCTGGAGTGCAGGAGCTCCATCTATGATTCCTTTCTTCCTGTGGTGAATCTGTATAAGACCGGTGATCTTAATAAATCTTTGTGTGTGTGATTTACTAAGCTAATTCTGGAGTGCAAGAGCTCCATCTATGATTCCTTTCTTCCTGTGTTGAATCTGTATAAGACGGGTGATCTTAATAAATCTTTGTGTGTGTGTGTGACAATTGACAATTAAAAAATATTTATTGTCATCTTAGACAATATTATACATTTTCAATCATAGGGAGAGAAAAAGAAAAAAGAAGATGAGAAGAGAAGAGAAAATATATACATATATGAAACATATTTTACAAGATGGTGATGGGAGATGGAGGAAGAAACCCTCGGCGCTGGAGGGTCCTGGACCAGGCGATGAGCAGGTCTTCCACTGCTTCTCCGAGCCCAACCTGTACAAAGTAGCGATAAATTCGCAACTTTGCCGACGCCAAGATGGAAAGGGCGTCGTCCTCAAGGCCGGACCCGCCGAAGATCCAAGCCTGCAGGTCAGGGGGCCGCCCTATGATGTTGAAGGCCTCTCTGATGAGAGGCCTGATGGAACGGCAGCACCAGTAACGGTGGCCGAGGGAGCGGTCGATGGACCCGCAGGCAGGACAGGAGGGGCCGACCGAGGCAGGATGGGCCGGATGGGGCAGGGCGTGGAGGGCCAACTTGAGGGCCGCGTCAGCCTCGTGGCCCGAGTGGGCGCAGCGCCGCAGCGAGGCCCAGTCGATCCTGGATGGTGGTGGACCGATGGTGGGCGACCATCTCGAGGTAAACCTTGAGATGGGCGTGGCGGCGAGGCGCGGGCGATCCAGGGCCCGTCGGGCCGAGCGGGTCGTGAGGCCGTTGAGGAACGGCGTAGCCGTCCCTCGCAGCACCACGGCCGCAGCTAAAGAGCTAGATGAGGGTGCAGACTCCGCCCCGAAGCCCACGGCGTTCTCGGAGGTCAGCCTCCGACAGAAGGCGCCCAGGGTCGCGGCGTCAGCCAGGACGGAGCGCGTAGGGCGGGCGATGAGGTGGCCCTCCGCGAGAAGGTCCCGGACTCGGGCTCCGCGCCAGCGGGCGGGGGCCAGGAGGTCGGGAAGGCGGAGGAACCGGCAGCCGCCGATGATGGGGAGGTCCAGCAGCTGAGCCGTGGGGAGCGCCCGGTGGTTGAGGCTCAGGATGTTGGAGGCCTCCTCCCAGAGCTTCAGCAGCCGTAGACGGCGGGGCTGGAGACGGGTGCCGTCCGGTGGAGGGTGAATCCAGGCCTCACCGCTTTCTACCAGCCAGCTGAAGGCATTTCTGCCTCCGCGGAGCGCGACCTGCACCCCCTTGAGGCAGGCGAGCTGGAGTTGGGTTGCCAGGTCGAGGAGGCCGAGGCCTCTGATGGCTACGGGCCTCGCCATGACGGCGGCGGGAAGCCACGCCGTATGCTCGGGCCCCCAGACGAACCTCGCTAGTCTGGCCTGCAGTTTGGCGATGGTCGGGGGTGATGGCAGGTACCCGTGCAGGTGATGCTGGATGGTGGAGCTCACCAGCGAGTTCGCCGCTCTAGATCGTCCGACGAGGGATAGGCCGCGGGTGAAGGGCGTCCATCTGCGGCAGGCGGACTCCAGAAGGGCGAGAAGATGCTGCTCCTGATGGGCTACGGAGCTCCTGGGGGCGATGTCGAGCCCGAGGACCCTGATGGAGGTGGTCGACCAGGAGGCGCCGAGAGGGGAGTCGCCGCGGTTGCGCCAGGCTCCGCACCAGAGGCCCGCGCTCTTCCCGAGGTTGACGGCGATACCGGAGGCCCGCTTGAAGTCTTCGAGGACGGTCGCCACCCGCTCGAATTCTTCGTCGCGATGGAAAAGGAGGACGATGTCGTCGGCGTAGGCGATGACGTTGCCCACGCCGAGGGTCAACTCCAGGCGACGTAGCAGCGGCCCCGTAGCGATACTAAAGAGAGCGGCACTCACGGCGCAGCCCTGCCTTAGGCCGTTGAGGAGGGGGAAGGCGGTGGTGTGAAAGCCTCCAGCCCGGATCGTTGCGTCCGCCCCGGCGTACAAGATGTTGATCCAGCCCATGAAGGCCGGCGGGAGGCGGAGGGACGTCATCAGGGACTCCAGGAAGCCGCGGTCCAGGGAATCGAAGGCGGACTCCAAGTCGATGCCCATGACGGCCAGCGGCGAGCCCATGGCGGTTGCCTCCTCAACAGCATCCGTCACCTTAGCGATGTTCCAGGACGGGGACCTCCCGGGGACGGCGTATGTTTGGCATTCCGGCACCAGGGTCCGCAGGTGGGGCTTGAGGCGCCGGTGAAGGATGGCGGCCAGGACCCTGTAGTCGGCCGAGGGCAGCGCGACAGGCCTGTAGCCATCAAGGCCGCGACCTCCGCGGGCCTTGGGCACGAGGCAGATGGAGCTGCGCCGCGTCGACGGAGGTAGTGCACCGCGGAGCCGTGAAGCCGCGAACACCCGGGCCAGAGCTTCCGCGAAGAAGTCCTCGTTGAAGGCGACGAGGAGCTCGCACGGCAAGCCGTCCCAGCCGGGGGCCTTTCCGCGAGGGAGGTGCTCGATGGCGTGGGCTATCTCGCTGGGGCTGATGTCTGGCCGGTGGAGCGGGTCCTCCTCACTCAGCTCGCGGGTGGTGGTGGTGGGCGCGCTGCTGGCGATGAAGGCAGCTCCCGCAGCTGGATCGCTGGTGGGACGGGCGAAGCGGGGCTGGAAGGTCGCGAACGCCCTCCGCCGAAGCTCTGGGCCCTCGATGACGTTGTCCTCCTCGTCCCTGATGACGCTGACCGGGCGACGGAGGCGGATGGCGCGTGCCAGGTCCGGCAGCGATGGGTAGTCTGCCCGGATGGCGGAGGCCTCGAGCTGCGCCGCGATGTAACGTCTCGCCCTGTAGACGTAGCTGTCGCTGGCAGCGTGGCGCGGGTCGTGCAGGGATCTGGCCTCCGCCAGCAGCCCCGCCTTGATGGAGGTCCACCTATCCCAGAAGGTCCCGTCGTCGTCATCGTGCGCTGTGTCTTCCTCCAACTCCCGGATGTAGCCAGCCAGATGTTCGAGCGCAAGGCCCGAGCGGAGCATCGCGGCCAAGCGAGGCTGGGTGGGGGAGGAGACGGCGGTGGTGGGCGGGCCGCGTAGATGGACGCGCGATCCAGAACTCCAGCAGGGACGAGGATCCGGTCCAGGCGGTTCGATTCGACTTGGTCGCCGTGCATGGCGACTCTGGTGGGCAGGTGGGCGGCGTCGAACTGGGTGGCCACGTCGACCAGCGCGGCCAGGTCCAGAAGAGCGGCGAGGGCATCCGATGATGATGATGACG